TTCCATTTTCATGAATGTTGTTCATTCCAAGTAAACACAAAATGATATTTAGAAATGTTAAAGAGACGATACATTATGGGAGCTATAAGTTGACACACCATCGTCGGGTAAACCTAATTTTTCAACACTTGAAGGTTTGAATTTTCTAATAACCAAGATATTTCGACATAAAGCACCAAAAGCTACTTTCAGGCCAGTCCTATGACACTTTTCAAGCATATCACACTATTAGGAATGATATATATGTATACCACCCAGATATTCCAAAACAAAACCACTGCATACGTCATTTTCTTGCTTGTAGAATTAGATAAACATGTTCTTGGTGTGGAGTTTAATAATGAAAACTCACTATACGATTAGTAAAACGTGGTAGCTTGTTTTATTAGTGATGGTAACAGCCGAGGCTGGATTGCGACCCACATTAAATTCCAAGTTGAGTGAATGCCGACGAGAAAATTGGGGGAATCCATGTTTTACATCATTTAATTTAATTAAAATACTAGTGTACTGTTTATGTCATTCAGCTTACTTGATAATGCACTGAACTGATAATTCATAAATTGGTTATCCAAAATAATTTCATAAATTATCGATTAATTGTTTGGCCAGCAAAAAGAACAATCATATGGCGTTTGAAATAGATCACTAGGTTACACCATAGATGAAATATTCACACGCATTGAGATGACTAGTTCAGAATAAATAGCCACACGCAACCTACTATCATCAAAAACCACACTCTTCGTTTGTTAAGCCGTAAAAGGCATTGTTGGACAGGATATAAACGAACTGATAACAGCACGTACAGGCATAAAAACATATAAGGAACATATGCACGAAGGCTATAAGAGAAGACAGGCTTCAGTACCAGTTAAAGCTTATGGACACATTTATTTCCAATCTGAAAAGCTTATTCCGTTACACAGCCTCTGTTTGTCAAGCCAAAACTGGAGTTTCTCAACTGCTAGGTCCTAACGGCCCGACCGATAACGATGGTGACGCCGCTAACCTTCTGGCTGAACAATACTCCCGGACATTTCAACCGACCCACATCAACTATACTGATGACGGCTTCATCTGAAACTGCACAGGACTTTCCATGGTGAACCTGAGCGCTAACTTGGTGTTCCGAAAACTGCAGCATCTAAGAACAGACACTTCTCCTGGCCCAGATATGGTCCATTCTGCTATACTGAGGGAAGCAGCTTCAATCCTGGCAACACCGCTTAGCATGATGTTCTCACACTCGCTAAGTCGAGGCAAACTACTGAATATTTGGAAGCTGGCTCATATCACACCAATCTTCAAAGGAGGTCGATGCAGCGAACCTTCAAGTTACCGACCGGTCGCTCTTATCTCTATACCTTCAAAAATCATGGGGTCCCTGGTATACACGACCATCTGCGTCCTTAAATTTCTCCTCACCCCAACAGCATGGTTTCAGGAAGAGTTACTGTTTGACGAACCTGCTGACTGGTGGACAGATGGACAAGCATCGTTGATCGCAAGGGGAAGGTAGACACGATTTACCGTGATTTCTCTAAAGCTTTTGATAGGGTTAACCACATATGTTTTATCAACAGGCTCAAACAATTGAGTACCAAACCTCCTTTAATTGACTGGCTCAGTTCATATCTGACAAATCGACATTTTTAGATCAGGGTTAACTTAAAATTCTCACACGCTATTGAATGTCCTAGTGAGGTCCCCCAGGGTTCAGTACTAGGACCTCTTCTCTTCCTGATTTATATAAATGATCTTCCTCAAAAGGTAACGTCAGACTTATTGCTTCTTGCCGACGACGTGAAACTTTGGAGAGATATACGCAACCGAGAGGATATACAGACACTTTAGGAGTGTCTGAATCGACTTCAAAGTTGGGCAGACGACAAACGGACTTACCTTTAACAATTCAAAGTGTAAAGTAGTCCATCTGCGACGTCGCAGATTACAGTTACAAGTTAGGAAACTCATCTCTACTAGTGTCCCGAGTCAAAAAGATTCTTTCCACCTCAACAGCATGGTTTCAGGAAGTGTCATTCTTGTATAATCAACCCGCTAATCGAGGTGGACAGATGGACAACCATCCTTGATCGCAAGGGGAAAGTCGACGTCATTTACCTTGACTTCTTAAAAGTATTTGATGGGATCAACCATATATGTCTTATCAAAGAGCCCAAACGATTAGGTATCAAATCACCTTTAATTGATTGGCTCACTTCATTTCCAAAAAAATCGACATTTAAAGATCAGGGTTAACCTCACTTTCTCTCAGGCTATGGGATGTCCTAGTGAGGTCTCCCATGGTTCAGTACTAGGACCTCTTCAGTTCTTGATCAATATAAACGATCTTTCACAACAAGTGTCGTCGGGCTCATTACCTTTGCCGACGATGTGACACTAGAGAGATACTCATCCAAGAGGATACACTGGCACTTCAGGACGATCTGACTCGACTTCAAAGTTGGGCAGACGACAAACGGACTTACCTTTAACACTTCAAAGTGTAAAATAGTTCATCTGAGACATGTTGCGGGCTAAAGTTACAACGTAAGAAACTCGTCTCTAGAAGTACTCCAAGTTGAAAAAAGATTTAGGAGTGCTGGTACCCTACGATTTGGAATCTTATTTTAACTGTGACAGAAATGCTTTTCGAGCGAACCTTGCACTGGTAACATTGAAGTGCATTCTTGGTCAGTTTGACGGAAGAACTTTCCACATAATCTTCAACAGTTTTATCCGTCCCCGTTTAGAGTACGGAAACATAGTATATCCTCCCTTACTCAAAAAAGATAAGGACACTCTAGAGCGTATCCAATAATGAGCCACGGAATCAGTTCGCGGACTTAAATCCAAGCCTCTAGTCACTAAACCTTTACCCATTAGGGTACAGGCGTCTTAGAGGTGACCTTCTAATGGCTTACAGTATCCTTAACACTTCTGGACATCCTCTTAAACACCTACACTTAAGCTTAGTCAAAACACTAACCTAAGGGGTAACACCCAGAAATTAGAGATACAACATAGTAGAACGGACTGCAGGCACAACGTTTACTCCTTAAGAGTTGTCAAACGCTGGAATTCTATCCCGGCCGAGCTAGTCTAAGCAACTTCTCAAGAGTCCTTTAAGAGGCGACTTGATCTATACTTATGGACTGAGGATAGTATCTTACTATGATTTACCAATTTCTTTTGCTCTGTTGTCGTTAATAAATCTAGGTTCTTACCTGGAGGTATTGGTGATCTACTGCTACTAGACACGGAAGCCCGTTAAACGAAAGCTTCTTATGTTCCGTTCACAACCATTCGAACGGTCCTAACACAAAATACTAATACCACTTTATTACTGAGACAGTTGCACAATGTATTCCTATATACTATGAACCATTTATTTCGTTAATAATAATAAGTTTTGCAGCTACTAACCAGATATTGGTCCTGGGAGGTACCTTGAAATGAATTCGGGAAATTAGAAAGTGACTGAACAAATACCCATCCATTTTCTAAAATTGGATTATCCACCCATAAAATTTTATGAAATTGAAACATGAGACTATTTCTGACTGAGAATAGCGAACAACCGTGTTTGTCACGGAACGGATAACTACGACATCAAATAATCTTTATACATTACTGAAGTACACTGATGATAGAAAAGTGCATTCTGACGTATTGATTTTAAGCACATGAAGGGAATAAGATCTATAGGTTTTCTTATTCTAATCCATGTGTACAAGCACAGATGAATTCCGGTAATATTTAGCGATTTAATAAAGATCCGATACGGGACAATAAATAACAAACTTAAGATAAGCCTAGATTAAGCACGTTTTGTGAGACGGACGCCAGTGTATAAATGGACATGTTATTTTTGGATGGAGAGCATAACTCCCCAACACTACTCCACATCAGTGAGTTGAGACGTCTTTCGGTTTTGCTTGCAGACTGTAAATATTCGCCATTTAGTGAGCAGTGGCACCGATAAGACAGTTCTCCAAATTTTCTTGGAAAAATTGCTCGCACCGCCTAGAGGTTGGAGCTTGACAATAAACACAGAGGTGTACTACCGACCTAAGCCGTAAACATGCTTCTGAAGCATTGCGTGGTGCTGAATAATCGATCTCAATTATTACGTGTAGTATCCATTTGCTTGTAGTTTTATTTCGCATATCAGAATTCATCAAACGTCGAACAAAAAACTGGAGGATTCCCTGCACGTCGCGACCCTCTCATTCGACAAGTAGCAAATACAGTTAAAAAATGAGAACCAACATGGTATCGCGAACTGAAGCTTAGGAGTTGCTATTCGGTTAACAAAATCGATTGGAATAGTTCCCGAGCGTCTATCGACATAACAACATACGTAGCCGGAATAACCGGATGTTGTATAAGGCTAGATTTTCATACGAGTAGAAACGCGGTTATTTATGTCGACTGTACCCTCGATAAAGACAAAACAGCAAAAATCTACTTCCAGTTAGGTTTTTTCAACTGTTTCGACGAAGCGGTTCAGGTAGATATACGACCCAATCACTAGTACGACAGTTCGACAACCTAGGTACAAACTTCATTTAACCTACATGCATTCTCACTACAGTAGTCTGAACTAAACGACAATTTACGACGCTCCATCCGACTGAACACTAGTTTCGATATTGAGGCCGACAATCGTTATGTAATACAATGTGACCCCAACACTGCGGCTACCACCATATAATGATCGACACTTACAGAACTAATTAACGGCACATGGAGCAAGATTGGTTCCTGATTCTAAGGGACTAGTCTTTATGGACTAAGTTGGACCTTGAATACATAAGCCTTTCGAGTTAAACCTCACGAAATATCATATTAGTGCCGAACAAACAAGAACCAGACCGATATAACAGTCGACAAATACCTAATGAAATAACACTTAACAAGATCCGAACAAACGGTTTCAGAAAAGCAGTTTTAATCCAATAAATTTAATTAGTAAACTAAAACGTATAATTTACTTTTTCTTTGCAGCTTTTGCGGCGGACTTTGTTACTTTTCCCGCATCTGCTTTCTTGACGACAGATTTAACGATACCGACAGCTACTGTTTGCTTCATATCCCGAACGGCAAAGCGACCGAGCGGAGGGTACTGCTGGAATGTTTCAACACACATGGGTTTAGATGGTACAAGATTCACGTTTGCTGCGTCACCATTTTTAATGCTTTTTGGATTGTCTTCAATCTTCTTCCCTGATCGTCGATCAAGCTTCTCTGTTATTTCACTAAATTTGCAGGCAACATGTGCAGTATGACAATCAAGGACTGGAGAATAACCATTTTTGATCTCACCTGGATGATTCATGACTATTACTTGGGCCATAAAACTCTCAGCTGATTTAGGAGGATCGTTTTTGGAATCCCCAGCAACATTACCGCGGTGGATTTCACTGACAGACACGTTTTTAACATTGAATCCAACATTGTTACCAGGCACACCTTCCTGAAGCGCTTCGTGATGCATTTCTACTGACTTGACTTCAGTTGTCAAACCTTGCGGAGCAAAGGTGACGACCATACCAGGTCTGATGATCCCAGTTTCCACACGACCAACTGGAACAGTACCAATCCCACCAATCTTGTAAACATCTTGGAGGGGTATTCTTAATGGTTTATCAGTCATTCTTGAGGGTGGATCCATCTTATCTATTGCTTCTATCAATGTGAAGCCAGTTTCAGTCTTTCCATCCTTTACTTTTGCAACTTCCCAACCTTTGAACCAAGGCATATTTGAACTCTTTTCTACCATATTATCACCGTGCCAGCCAGAGATCGGCACAAATGGAACTGAAGCTGGATTGTAACCAACTTTTTTGATATAACCAGAAACTTCTTTAACGATTTCTTTGTAGCGATCTTCAGAGAAAGGTGGCTCAGTGCAGTCCATTTTATTAATCGCGACAATCAACTGCTTGACACCCAACGTGTATGCCAACAGTGCATGTTCTCTTGTTTGACCATTCTTGGAAATACCTGCCTCAAACTCCCCAACACCAGCCGCAACAATCAGCATTGCACAGTCTGCTTGACTTGTTCCTGTGATCATATTCTTGATAAAGTCACGATGGCCAGGTGCATCAATAACTGTGACTTTGTACCTATTGGTGTCGAACTTCCATAGTGCAATATCGATTGTGATTCCACGTTCGCGTTCAGCCTTTAGTTTATCCAATACCCAAGCATATTTAAAAGAACCTTTACCCATCTAAAGCAGTATAACTAGTATATATGAACACTTACCTCAGCAGCCTCTTTCTCAAACTTTTCGATAGCACGTTTGTCAATTCCACCGCATTTGTAAATGAGGTGTCCGGTAGTAGTGGATTTCCCACTATCTACATGTCCTATAACCACTAAGTTGATATGGTTATTTTGGGAACTCATTATCGCAACAGTGAATCAAGAGAACACGCCAAGAACACGCAAACACCGCTACTGAATAGCCGAGGTAGGCGGAAGATCAGTTAGGATAAACAAAACCCAAATACAGACAAAGTGCTTCAACCTCCAATTAATTAATCACACTACTTTTCATTGTACTTAACAAAAGATGAAAACGAAAATCTCTGGTGCATCTTTGATCATGAAATCAGAGCTTTTGTAACGTAGATAACAAGTAATTGGTCTAAATGGTTCAAACGGATGTGCACGAATATAAGAAGCTTTCGATTAACGGGCTTCCGTGTCTAGTAGCAGTAGATCACCAATACCTCCAGGTAAGAACCTAGATTTATTAACGACAACAGAGCAAAAGAAAATTGGTAAATCATAGTAAGATACTATCCTCAGTCCATAAGTATAGATCAAGTCGCCTCTTAAAGGACTCTTGAGAAGTTGCTTAGACTAGCGTTTGACAACTCTTAAGGAGTAAACGTTGTGCCTGCAGTCCGTTCTACTATGTTGTATCTCTAATTTCTGGGTGTTACCCCTTAGGTTAGTGTTGTGACTAAGCTTAAGTGTAGGTGTTTAAGAGGATGTCCAGAAGTGTTAAGGATACTGTAAGCCATTAGAAGGTCACCTCTAAGACGCCTGTACCCTAATGGGTAAAGGTTTAGTGACTAGAGGCTTGGATTTAAGTCCGCGAACTGATTCCGTGGCTCATTATTGGTTACGCTCTAGAGTGTCCTTATCTTTTTTGAGTAAGGGAGGATATACTATGTTTCCGTACTCTAAATGGGGACGGATAAAACTGTTGAAGATTATGTGGAAAGTTCTTCCGTCAAACTGACCAAGAATGCACTTCAATGTTACCAGTGCAAGGTTCGCTCGAAAAGCATTTCTGTCACAGTTAAAATAAGATTCCAAATCGTAGGGTACCAGCACTCCTAAATCTTTTTTCAACTTGGAGTACTTCTAGAGACGAGTTTCTTACGTTGTAACTTTAGCCCGCAACATGTCTCAGATGAACTATTTTACACTTTGAAGTGTTAAAGGTAAGTCCGTTTGTCGTCTGCCCAACTTTGAAGTCGAGTCAGATCGTCCTGAAGTGCCAGTGTATCCTCTTGGATGAGTATCTCTCTAGTGTCACATCGTCGGCAAAGGTAATGAGCCCGACGACACTTGTTGTGAAAGATCGTTTATATTGATCAAGAACTGAAGAGGTCCTAGTACTGAACCATGGGAGACCTCACTAGGACATCCCATAGCCTGAGAGAAAGTGAGGTTAACCCTGATCTTTAAATGTCGATTTTTTTGGAAATGAAGTGAGCCAATCAATTAAAGGTGATTTGATACCTAATCGTTTGGGCTCTTTGATAAGACATATATGGTTGATCCCATCAAATACTTTTAAGAAGTCAAGGTAAATGACGTCGACTTTCCCCTTGCGATCAAGGATGGTTGTCCATCTGTCCACCTCGATCAGCGGGTTGATTATACAAGAATGACACTTCCTGAAACCATGCTGTTGAGGTGGAAATAAGTTTAAGGATAATAAGTAATCATGTGTACCGTCGCATACCAGGGACTCCATAATTTTTGAAAGTAAAGAGAGAATAGCTCGAAAGTTCGCTGCGTTGACCTCCTTTAAAAATTGGTGTGATGTGAGCCAGCTTTCAGATTTCCGGTATGTGCCTCGGCTTAGCTAGTGTGAGAACTCCACGCTAAACTCTAAGCTCCAAACCTTTCTGGACAGGAACATTGACTTGATTGTTCTTCATGAACTTCACCTGGATAGGAAGATAATGTTCTCTGTTATGGAAAGGTATATCTCATTCTTCGTTTCTTCAGAAACTGAAGAACAAAAATATTAGTTATTAAGGGGAAAAACTAACAGTCGATCGGTTCACACATGTTAATCTTTGAAGTTGATTTTTTATTTGGGATCCACTATTCCGTTGGAACTGTTTACTGATCTAGTGAGCATTGCTTGTTTTTGTGAGGCATTCCAATAGTCAACTACTCGGTGAGATAAACTTCATATCATAAAATAGGAAATGACAATTACACTGTATCAAGCCATAATTGGCTGTGAATATGAGGGGCTGTAACTAATAAATTGGTAATAACTTAAGAATAGTAAGTCGTATAATGGTGTCTGATTAATCAAATGTAAGCTTACAACCAGAAAAACATAAATATACATAATTTGGTTACTCAATAGTTATAAAGTAAGAATATACATATAATAACAGTCCATAAATGATTCCTATCAGTAACCATCCATTTATTTAACACTCCTGAAGAACACGTTTTGGCTTGGTACAGAACAATAAATTTAGTGTGGATAGGGATTGGTTACACAGATTGACCACGACTCTGGTTCCCTGCAGAAAAATTTGACTTTTTCGTGCGAAAGGTACACCACCTTGGGTTTGTAGTCGGTCAAGATGCTAAACGACCAGGCCCAGAAAATACTCAGGCAGTAATGGCTATGCCTGTACCGATGGATGTCTCCACACAGTGAGACTAGTTAGCCATCATGTAGCCTTTCTACCAAACCTTCATCGCTTACGTGCCCCATTAAAGAGTCCTTCTGATGAGGAATATAAAATGGGATTGGTCTACAAATTGTCAAGCTGCTTTTGAGAAAATCAAAAACCACTGATTTCAGACCTGTTACTTACTCATCACGATCCATCTTTACCTATTTTAGCAGCATCAGACTATTTGCAATATGACAAGACATTAAGAAAAGTTAGGAGTTGTCTTCGCATCAAATGACTCAACCCTCAAGTTGAAAGAAAATTGCCATAATAATTGCTTCGACGGGACTCACTCATAACTGTCGGTTCGTGTATTACGTTTCGTGACATCCTTTCTTAATTCTCTCCGCCTCGACAGTCTTTCTATGGGGTCCTTAACTGTTGAGAGCGATAATTCGCATATGCTGAGATCACCAGGTAAGTAACAGTGAGGTTAGACGTAGGATATTATGAAATGATGGTAAATCAGTTGGTGAGGTTATAAATCTTCAGCGACTGAGATGGTTTGGTCACGCGTTGTGTGTGTCTGAACACCGATTACTACGACGCGCAATGCTGGCTAGTGTTGGGGATGGTTGGAAGAAAGTCAGGGCCGGCCAAACCAATACGTGGCTTCAGTGCTTGAAGTCACTAACTTCTAGTCTGAGCCATGTTGGTAGATGCAAGCTACTTGATTGTTGTCTGCGCGACTATCGTAACCAATGGCTGGAGACTGTGTGACATGGCTTAGAATCGATCACAATGGCGTAGGTGTATACACTCTTTGTCTTCCTTTAAACTATGAGATTAAAATCGCTCTATACCTTTATTGCTACGAACTTATTCTTTTTTCCTGCACTATATCCTTATGCGCCTGTTCCTACGTCGTAGCGATAATACACATTATATTTGTCATATTTGAAAAGAGAGTAATAATAATAGAATAACAATAATAAATCAGTTTCTGTGTAATTGAAAAGCATGTTGAATTAAGTTTATAGAAGGAAAGGAAGAAAAATGAGGGAATAGAAATAAGGGAGACGTACAGTATTCAAATAGTTTAATAGACATGTTTATGAACACAGAGCAGGAGTAAACGACTATGTAACGTCAAATTAGTAGATAAAACGAAAAAATAAAAAATAATCGAGAAAAAACAACTTATTATTCCAGTAAGATATGACGCTAGAATAAATGGTTATGCAGTCATAGCTTGGAGTGATGCTCTGAAATTCTCAATTGAGTGAAAAAGATAACGAAGTATCAATATGTATGAGACAATCGCATTGTGAATTATTTGGTAGGATGTTATAAGTTGATTCTTACTAGTTGTTGTCATTATGATGTAACGTGGTCATAGCCTCCACGTAAACGAATCTATTAATAAAGAACGATGAATCGTAATGCGCAACAGGAGAAAGTCCTGCAGAAGTTGCAGAAAACCCTGCAATTTTCCCAATTCAGAATCTATCGACACAAAAAACTATTCGAAGAACTTCTAAGCCGGCACGCGTTAACGGCAGCCGTAGCCGGCTAACATAGCCGTCTGCTATACGTCACTGACGCGATAACGAGAATTCGGTACCTCGTCGATACTGACGCAGAAGTTAGCGATCTTCCAGAAAATTCCAACGACCGGCTTCACGAATCGGTTTTAAATCTACAGGCAGCAAACGGAAAGCCTATCGCTACGTATGGCAAAGGCTACGTTTACCTCAACGTGGGTTTGCGAAAACCCATTCACTGGATCTTTGTTGTTGAAGATGTTTCCATGCCAGTCATTGGTATGGATCTTCTACAACACCACAACTTAATTATCGATACGCGCAAAAGGAGGTTAGTAGACGGAAACACTAATTTATCTGTTTGCCTGACTTCTTTTTCTGGTTGCAGGTTATCTCCAGTCACTATTAAGCACACGATAGACCCCTTCTACCAACCACTACTCGATAAGTATTCTGGCATTTACCAATCGCAACCGAAATTGACGTGTGTAACCAGCAACGTTACACAACACATCATGACTACAGGACCACCTGTATTCTCTAAAGCACGCCGACTGGACCCCGAAATGTTAAGGTTGGCGAAAAAACGAATTCGACCATATGATAAACTTAGGAATCATACGACCGTCAAATAGCCCATGGGCATCTCCGTTGCACATGGTCCCTAAAACGGACAGCAACGATTGGCGTCCAACTGGTGACTATCGGAGATTGAATGCAAAAGCGATTCATGATCGTTACCCGTTGCCTCACATTCACGATTTGACAGCTACCTTGAAAGGTGCAACTGTCTTTTCGAAAATCGACTCGGTAAAACTTACTTACGCCTGTTACTCCCAATGGAGCATAGGCCGCCGACCAGCATTCTCCTACCCACTCTGTCCTGGGCCTTCTTTTCTAGTTCCATCCAATTCTTGTTCATTTTTCTTATGTCTATCTCCATTTCTCGGCGTAATATGTTCTTTGGTCTTCCTCTCCTCCTTCGGCCTTGAGGATTCCATGTGAAGGCTTGTCTTGTGACGCAGTTCGGTGCTTTCCTCAATGTGTGTCCTATCCACTTCCAGCGTTTCTTCCTGATGTATTCGTCCACT